AGTGTTTTGCCTATAAGTGCGCCCGTGCGTGTCGGCAGAGGCCATAAGAGGATGTTGGAGCCCCTGCAACTGGAGTTGTAGACTGTTAGCTCCCTTGTGGATGCTGAGAGCAGCCTTCTCTCCAAACCGCCCACCACCACCACCACCACCACCACCACCATAAGGGCCTTACCGGACAAGTCATCAGGTCCGAGTTTGGCCTAGGGAACAATCACAAGTTGATGAAGTTTCAGGCGCAGGAACCTCCCAGACACCAAATCTTGGTGGATTCAGGAACGGTTTTAGGAACATGTGTATTTATTGATACAGGTGAGAGCCAAAAAGGAATTTGTAGAAAAATAATTAATAATGGGATTCTGTCCACTACATCTTATTACAGTGTAATTAGGAGAATAGAGAACCTGTGAAATGAAAAATTAAAATGAATGTACTAGGGGCTGGAGAGATGGCTCCGTGATCAAAAACACTGGCAGCTCTTCCTGAGGACCGGAGGTTTGGTTTCCAGCACCCACATGGTGGCTAAGAACCATTCTTAACGCCAGTTCAGGGGATCCAACACTGTCTTCTGGCCTCTGCAGGTGCCAGCCATGCACATGGTGAACTTACATACATGAAAGCAAAACACTCTTACAGTTAAAAATAAAATCTTTTTTTTAAGGTAAAAAAAAAAAAAAGTACAGCAGGGCATGGTGGTTCATACCTTTAATTCCAGTTCTTGGAAGGCTAAAGCGACAGAGCTCTGTGAGAATGAGGCCAGCCTCGCCTATGTAGAGAGCTTGGGAACCCTGGCTTAGAAAACACAAAATAAATAAAAAATGCAAGTACTAATTGTCAATTATAATTTCTTCACTGTACTTCAGTTGAGGACTGAGGGTGGTAAAACTTACACACTATAGCCAGGCTCCGTGGCGCATGCCTTTAATCCCGGCACTCAGGAGACAGAGGCAGGTGGATCTCTGTGATCTGTGAGTTCAAGGCCAGCCTGGTCTACATAGGACAGCTGGGGCTACAGGGAGACATTGTCTCAAAAAAAAAAAACAAACAAAAAAAACCAGCTATGGGAATTTAGGCCCCAAAAGGCCAGATCTTATTTTTTAGATATTTTACTTATTTTTATTTATGTGTATGAGTGTATTGCCTGCATGTGAGTGCACCCTGTCGTGCAATGCCGAGGAGGTCAGAAGAGGGCTTCGGATTCCCCTGGAACTGGAGTTAAGGACGGTTCGCAGCCGCCATGTGGGTGCTGGGACTCGAAACCTAGATTCTCTGCAAGAGCAGTCAGTGCCCTTAATCCTTGAGTCATCTCTCCATCAACCCCCCTCTTCTTTTCTTTTTTTCAGATCTTTTGATTATCCTTGTTGATGGTGCCTCTGCCCCCCACCCAGTGCTGGGATTTAGGGCGTGTGCCACCATGACCGACTTTGTTGTGTTGTTTTCATTATTTTTTAGGTGGTGGATTTTTGACATGGGCTCTCACTGTGTATTCTGGGGTGGCCTCAAACTTCTGACCCCCTGCTTCAGCATCCCAAATTCTGGTATTACAGGCAAGTCCCTTCATGCCTGGCCTAATCTAGAATTTCAAGAGAATGTGGAGATTTTGTCTGAAACGAGATTTTGTATGAGTGTTCTAGCCTGCATGTATATATAAGTGCACATGTGTTGTACAATGCCTGTGGAGGCCAGAAAAGGACATCAGATCCCCTGGAACTCGAGTTACTGAAATTTGTGAGCCGCGATGTGGGTGTTGGGAACTGAGCTGGAGCCCTTTGGGAGAGCAGACAGTGATCTTAACCACTGAGACATCTCTCCAGCTCCCTGAAACATTTTATTTAGACAGAGTAGCTTAGCCCGGCATCAAACTGGGCTATGGAATGACACGTGCCACCATGCCCAACCGTGAAAAAAAAAAAAAATATATATATATGTGTGTGTATGTGTGTGTGTATATATATATGCATGCAGATATATATAACATACACATATATGTATTAAGAATATTTAAGAGGGCAGATAATAAGTCCTGTGTGCTAGTGCACACCTTTCATTTTAACACTTGGGAGGCATCAGGAAGCAGATCTCTGTGAGTTCAAGGCCAGCCTGGTATATGTAGTAAGTTCCAGACCAGCTGGGGCTACAGTGAGAACCTATCTTACAAAAAAAAAAAAAAAATACAAGATGGCTCAGTGGGTATAAGTGCTTGCTACCAAACCTGATGAACTGAGTTCAATTCCTGAAATTCACATGGTGGAAGAAGAGGACCCCCTTCCACAGGTTATCCTCTGAATCTCCCACACACATACACAAATAAATAAATGCAAAAGAGGGAGCTTTTTTTTTAAAGGTAGAAATTTTCTTTTTTTTTTTTTTTTTTTTTTTTTTTTTTGAGACAAGGTCTCCCTGTAGCCCCAGCTAGCCTGGAACTCACACAGAGATCTACCTGCTTCTTTCTCCCAAGTGCTGGGACTAAAGGCATGCACCACCATGCCTGGCTAGAAATCTATTTTTAAATATTCCATTTTTGTTGTTTTGATACAGGGTGTCACGTAGATGATACTGGCCTTAAATTGGCTGTGTAACTGAAGCTGTCCTCAAACTCCTGATCCTACTACTTTCCACAAGTATGTGATACCAGGTGTAGCGCCTTTTATTGTTTCCTTCTGTTTTTTCAGACAGTGTCATTGTGTAGCCCAGGCTGTGCTCCTTGATGCTGGGAATGGGCTGAAGAGATGGCACAGCCCTTAAAGGCTAACAACCAGAATGCTGGGAGTGCAGATGTGTGTCACTGTGCTGACTTTTTTAAAATCTGGATCTCATGCTGTTCCCCAGTCTGATGCAAATTCCTTGCTTCAAGCTGTCCCCCCCACCTCTACATCCTGAGATGTAGGACTGCACCACCACTCTTCCATTAAATCAATTTGTGAAAAAAACACTCCAAGGCCAGGCCTGATGGCACACACCTTTAAGTCCTCCACTCAGAAGGCAGAGGTGGGAAGATTTCTTTGAGTTTGAGGCCAGCCTGGTCTACAAAGCAAGTTTCAGGCCAGCCAGGGCTACATAATGAAACTGTCAGAAAAAGGCAGGGATGGGCTAGAGAGATGGCTCAGCAGTTAAGAGCACTGGCTGCTTTTCCAAAGAACCTGGGTTCAATTTCCAGCACCCTCATGGCTGCTAACAATTGTCCATAACTCCAATTCCAGGGGGTCCAACACCCTCCTCTGACCTCTGCACGCATTGCACTCATGGAGTCACTTATATACATGCAGGCAAAACACTAGTGCACATAAAAATAAATTTAAAAAATGGTTTTTTTGGTCCTTTTGAGATAGGGTCTCCCTGTAGCCCCAGCTGGCCTGGAACTCTATGTAGACCAGGAGGGACTTGAACACACAGAGATCTGCCTGCCTCTGCCTCCTGAGTGCTGGGATTAAAGGCATGTGTCACCATGCCCGGTCCCCCAAAAATATTTTTACAAAAGCACTTCAAGGGATAGAGAAATCAGTGGTTAAGAGCATTGACTGCTCTTGCAGAGGACAGAGGAGCCACATGGCTGCTAACAACCATTCATAACTCCAGTTCCTGAGGATTCAACATGTTCTTCTGACCTCTGCACAACATGGTGCCCTAGCACACATGCAGGCAATACACTCATACACGTAAAAAAATAAAATGTTATAAAAGGTTTTTTTTGGTCCTTTTGAGACAGGGTCTCCCTGTAGCCCCAACTGACCTGGAACTCGTTATGTAGACCAGGCTGGCCTTGAACTCACAGAGATCCACCTGCCTCTGCCTCCTGAGTGCTGGGATTAAAGGCTTGCGGCACCACACCTGGCCATAAAATGTTCTTTAAAGAAAGCACTTCAAAGGGGCTGGAGAGATGGCTCAGCAGTTAAGAACACTGGCTGTTCTTGCAGAAGACCCAGGTTTGAATCCCAGCACTCACATGGCAGCTAACAACTGTCCATAACTCCAGTTCCAGGGAATCTGATGGTCTCTTCTCTTCTCTGTGGGCATTGCACTACATGGATGCACCTACACACGTGTAGGCAATACACTCATACACAAAAAATAAATTTTTTTAAAAAAAAGCATGCTGGGTGTGGTGGCACACGCCTGTAGTCCCAGCACTTGGAAGCCAGAGGCAGGAGGATGTCTGTGAATTCAAGGCCAGCCTGGTCTACATAGTGAGTTCCAGGACAGCTTGGGCCACACGGAGACCCTGTCTCAAAAAGACAAAAATATAAAATAAAATAAAAATAAAAATAAAATAGAAAAAGAAAAACAAATATGAAGCCGGACGTGGTGAATTTAGCAGAGGCAGGTGGATCTCTGAGTTCGAGGCCAGCCTGGTCAACATAGCGTGTACCAGGTCAGCTGGGGCTACAGGGAGACCCTGTCTCAAAAAAGACCAAAGAACAGTAATGGCAAAGATCTGAGGAAAAAGATCATATACACCATGAGTGGGAATGTAAATTAGTCTAGCCACTGGAAATTAGTTGAACTTTTCCCCCTAGAATTAAAAATAGTGGGGCATTGTAGTGCATGCCTTTAATTTTAGCACTCAGGAGGTAGAAGCAGGTGGATCTATGTGAGTTAGAGGCCAGCCTGGTCTACGTAGCAAGTTCTAGGCCAGCCATGACCGCATAGTAAAATGCTGTCTGAAAAAACAAACAAACAAACAAAAACAATTAAAAACAGAACTATTGGGCTGGAGAAATGGCTCAATAGTTAAGAGCATTGAATCGGCTGTTCTTACAGAGGATCCAGGTTTGGTTCCTAGTACCCATGTGGCAGCCAACAACCATCTATAACTCTAATTCCAGGGACTCTGACATTATCTTATGACCTCCATAGGTACTGCATACATGTGATGTACTTACATATATGCAGGGAAACATTCATTCGTATAAAAAAAAATGAAAAAATAAAACTACCATGCCTGGCGTGGTGGCACATGCCTTTAATCCCAGCACTCGGAAGGCGGAGGCAGGTGGATCTCCATGAGTTCAAGGCCATCCTGGTCTACATAGTGAGTTCCAGGACA